CTCTCTTGCTCACTTCAATATCTCTAGCATGTACCCCAATGCCTAGGGTAGATGCTTAATAAATATTTGTTGAACAAATGAATTAATACACTATCTGGGTCCTGGCCATTCTTTTATTCAATTACTTTTATTTTCTATAAGAGCCCTTTCTGGCTTCTCAGACTCTCAATAATCCTCTTCTTTCTGACTTTTCTTTTTTTAAAATAGTTCTTTGAATATTGAACTCAAAACCCTGTGACAATCCAGCTCACCATGACAGGAAAAGCCATCCCTCCCAGTATATTACACCAGAAAGCTGACTATTTCTTTCCCAGAGTACATAATTTAATCCTAAATATAAAGAAAAACCTGAAATATAATTGATTAGAAAAATATATATGAAACAAACAGGACTTTTCTTTTTTTTTTAATCTTAAAAAAACTCTATAATAAAGTTTCTAACTTATGAGGTTGTGTTTTGTTTTTCCCTGACTTATTGGGCTTAAGTCACATGTTATAGTAAGGCCGCTGCCCATCTTATTGCCACTCAGCTTGTCTGGGAACATGTTTCACATTTTTAGGAATCCTGTAGCACCCTGCTCAGGCCTCCTCAGGCAGAGACAGTTCTTTTCACAGCCTCTAAATCCCCAGCAGTTATTGCAGGGGCCCACAAACAGGAAACCCTCAGTAAATGCTTGCCAAACTTCTCAATTAAATGAAAATCTCTTGAGTCACAGGTGACTGATTGGTACTTATCTGATAGAGGCGATTATTCATTCAGTCACTCAATAAATATTTAATTAATGCTCCAATATCCAAGATCCTGTGCTTAGCATTAGGGAGGAAATGGTACAAAAGACACACCCATTCTGGGGGAAGGAAATCTACATGCATGTTTACAATTACAATATAGTATCTAGTAATGGGAAAAGCTAGCTAGGTACAGGATGCCTTCAAGGGCATAATTAAGTCCTAGGGCCTGACTACCCATAAATATTGAAGAAGGTTTCATAAAGTTGATTTTTAAAGAATGAACAGGAGTTTACCAAGCCAACAAGGGTAGAGAGACATGAAAGAGCAAGGCACGTTTAGGGAAAGCCAAATAGTCATCAGGAATAAACCAAGGTACATAAAATAAGGTTAGAGAAATAGGCTTTTATGCCACGCCAAGTAACAAGGTTAAGTGGGAGCTGACATGAACAGTTTGCATTTTTAAAAGAGAATTATGGTGGTGGGATGGAGAATAACTCAGGAAGACAGTAGATTCAGGGAGTCTATGTTTGGGGAGAAATGGGAAGGATCTGGTGTGACAGTGGGGATGGAGTGGAGTCAGTGGCTTGATTGATATTTAGTAGGAGATGGAAGTGACAGGATACAGTGATTAATGCAAGGGAAGGAGACAGAAAGGGAGGTGCCTAAGGGGGTCCCTAAGTTTCTGACATGGATCTCTCAGCAAATGATAATGCCTTTCACTTGATTTAAGGAGCACAGGAGGAAGTATATGTGTGAGGAAAGAAAATGAATTCAGTTTAGACATGCTGAGGCAGAAATGTCTAGGGGACATCCAATGGCAGAGGTCTGGCAGGAGAAAGGAAATAAGAACCTGAAGCTCGGGGGAGAGGTCTTAACAGGAGATTGAGATTTCAAGGCTAAATATTTATGATTCTGTTCAGAATGATGATATGTCACAAAAAATAGAGCTACCAAGGCCCTGCCAGCTGCTTCTTCCCTGCGCTGATCATCTAACACTAAGTCAAGATATATAGGGATGCTCTACGTGGGTTTGCGATTTGTGTTCACTTTAGCCCTTCTAGGTTTGCCTGTGAAATTGGCAATGAGATGAAGTGGAGGGAGGTCTGCTCTGCTCCTCAGCCCGCTCTCCCACTCACAGAGGTCAGGGTGTCCTGGCAATACTGAACACTAGGCTATCTCCATCTGACTGGAGACTAGACTAGAAATATTTGATTGGAAAGACAGTCACTCAAGGAGTTCTCTTGAGGAGGAGACACGACTAAAGCAATTGCTCTGTACAACACTCCGTGCACCTGATATAGTACATCCCTAATCTTTCGTGACTTCTGATAACTGCTTAGAGAAAATAATACATGACCAATTTAATAGCTAATCATAATGAAAGCATCATTATCTCATAATACCAGCTCAAGGATCTAAAATTTTTGAGGGCTTATACATAAATCCTAATGGAAAGAAGAAAGAACATCTATTGATTAAACCTAGATCTAAAATTCTGCTTATTAGTTCACTCTTAAAACTAAACAAAGTGGATGATATTTTCAACTAAGGACCTTATGGTTTTATTACATGAATGGGAAGGTGATATAGTTCTCTAATATCTAAGGATTTTTTTTT